ACCCAAAAAACCACCAAATGTGGCCAGTTCCCATCTCTCCCAAAGGGGCCGGCCACACCCCTATAAATACCACCTCATTTCTCCAAAAACCTAAGTTCAACTCTTGCTAAATTCTCTAAATTTCTCTAAACATTTTTCCCTCAAATTCTAACTTTGGCATCAGAGGTTTTTCATCCAAAGCCCCCCATTTATCGTAAGCGCGTGAGGCTCTTGACTTTAACCTAAGGTGTTAATTGTTTTGTAGGTGCAATTTTGTCCAAGAAGAAGAATCCAAAAATTTGCATCCACAATGGGAATGCTCTTTCTTTTGACAACTCAATCAGTCCTAAACTCTGATCAATCAAAGGCCAAAAAAACCATAGAAAATGTGAAAACTGTCTGATTTATGTGAAGGTATGGGACCCTGTTCCTTTGGACGAGTTGGTCAAGGCCACAAGAATTTTCAATTGGAGAGATTTATTCGAAATCAGAACACTAAGATTACAGTCTTCCAAACAATCATGTTTTATTATATACAAACAGTAAATTAAAAAGGTACATGAAGTTTGAAGTTGGGGTCAGTTTTCAAACAAGAAGGGCAGATGGAGAACGCACAGTCCATCTGGCTGTGCACTCCAAGTCTGAATTTTCCAAAGATTTTATGGCGCGTTTACGTAATGGAAATAGGAGGAATTGAATTAAGGAGGAATTGAATTGAGAAGGAGTTGGAATGAGGAGAAGTCAGAATCGGATTCCTCTTGAAGCTATTTACTTAAATGTTCTGGAATCGGGATAGAATTCCATAAAGCTGTTTACTAATTTAGCAGAATCGAAATATAAACCAAATGATTACTAAAATGCCCTTGTCCCAAATCAAATATTTTATATACTTTAATGGGTTTATAAAGGATAGTTTTGGAAATAAAAAAAGTAAGTGAGGGCATAAAGGGAACAAAACTATCATTCCGATTACCCAAATAAGAAGGAATTGGATTACCACCTATATCTAGGGAATCCAATTCCACCACTACAAGGAATTGAATTCCAAAATTTGTGGGGGCCCCATTGCTTTTTTGATTCCACCATATTTAGTAAACACCGGAGTACTCCGTAATCGGAATTCAATTCCACGTTCTCATTCCGATTACGGATACGTAAACACGCCCTTAGTGGGTTGGGATTGATGCTTTTCTTGCAGAGTCTTAATGTTGTTGCAACTTATTCAATTTCCTGCGAGTAAACAGGACTTTACTAGTTCACATCAGAATCTCATTACTATTTATGGTAAAGTTTCTTGTTCATAGCTACACAAGCTTCATTAGTAAAAAAACTTACATATACTCAAGACTCCGTGAGCGTTGTAGGCAAAAGAGTGCAGTGGCAGATGCGTTAAGGAAAGTCCGGATAAGTGGCCGTCTTACCTTCGAGGACCATTCAAGTTTGGGTATGTGGTGAAGGAGAAGAGAGCAACGGCTACAGGTTCTCCATTGGTTTTTCTTGTATTAAGTATTAACAATGAAACTATCATATTTTCTAGAGTATGAAATCTCGTCGGGAACAAATTTAGTCTTTGTGGCTTCTAATGTATTTTTGGGTAAACATCTTATAATGTTGTTTGTACAAAGATTATGAATGAAAAGTTAGTAGTTTATTGTTTAATTTTTCAATGTTATTTCCATCAGAGCATTTTTATTGGGACTACTCGATGTTAGAATCATGTATCTGCCTCTACAGGTATGTACACTTTTTATGCCAACTAAGTTTCTTCGTAATTTTGGTAAATGAATTTTTCGGAGCTATATTCTTATGAAGTTCATCCAAATAGTGAAAACTAGAACAGGTCCACAAGTCACTTTAATTAGATGGAAAACGGAAAAATTTTAGCCTAACACTATTAAATATCTGACTTCGCCCTTGTACTTGCATAAAAACATAAATCTGATTTATGAATTTAGTGTATGAACGACGCATAATGTGTATTATGTGTATCACATATCAAGCAGGATTTGTAACTCAACTGGTTACTCGTAGATCCAAAGTTGTGGTCTTCCCCTACGACAATAATCCTACAGTATCGAGTTATAAACCCCGAAAACGAAGTCAAAGAGGACATTGCGAAAGAAAACTAGTAAATTGGCACATGCATGCAGATGCAGTCTCTAGAAACGCAGGCCTCAATACACACAGACAGAGACTGCATGCCGCTACCGCTACATATGAGCCCTACGGGCTACCATATATGGACCTGCCTGCATCGTATATAGAGGATGCATGACATATTGACATGTGGCGACAAAAGCCATTTCTTTTCCTTGCCGTACAATTTGGCACAAATATCTTATATCTGCAAATTTGACCCTACGAGCATCGGTAGCCAACCCAGTTCTTAACATCAACAGAAGAGAGAGAGAGGGGGGGGAGAGACACAGAGAGAGATGGCATGTATGACATGTCTTTTAGGTAGCTGGTTAGGGTGGTCCATGACTATATATGATACTGATGAGAGGCTGGAATTTGATTAAACCAATACGATGCACTGATTTAATTAGCCGACTAAATAGTAAATTAAAAAGGTACATGAAGTTTGAAGTAGGGATCAGTTTTCAAACAGGTAGGGCAGATGGAGAACACACAGTCCATCTGGCTGTGCCCTCCATAGTCTGAATTTTCCAAAGATTTTATTGGGTTGGGATTGATGCTTTTCTTGCAGAGTCTCAATGATGTTGCAATAACGACTTATTCAATTTCCTGCGAGTCAGCAGGACTTTACTAGCTCACATCAAAATTTCATTAACTATTTATGGTAAAGTTTTCTTGTTCATAGCTACACAAGCTTCATTAGTAAAAAAAACTTACATAAAGTCGAGACTCCGAGAGCGTTGTAGGCACAAGAGTGCAGTGGCAGATGCATTAAAGAGAGTCCGGATAAGTGGCCTTCAGGACTTTTGAGGACCATTAATTCAAGTTTGGGCATGTGGTAGAGGAGAAGAGAGCAACGGCTACAGGTTCTCTATTGGTTTTTCTTGTCTCAAAAAAAAAAAAAAACAATGAAACTATTATATTTTCCAGAGTAAGAAATCTCGTCGTGGACAAATTTAGTCTTTGTAGCTTCTAATGTTTTTTTTTTTGGTAAACAACTTATAATGTTGTTTGTAAAAAGATTATGAATAAAAAGTTAGTAGTTTATTGTTTAATTTTTCAATGTTATTTCCATCAGAGTATTTTTATTGGGACTACTCGATGTTAAAATCATGAATCTGCCTCTACAAGTGTGTGCACTTTTTTTTATGCCAACTAAGTTTTTTTGTACACAAGGGTGGAATATTTGGTAAAGGAATTTTTCGGAGATATATTCTTATGAAGTTCATCCAATTAGTGAAAATTAGAACAGGTCCACAAGTCACTTTAGATGGAAAACGGAAAATTTTTAGCCCAACACTATTAAATATTTGACTCCGCCCTGCTTGTACTCGCATAAAAACATAAATTTGATTTATGAATTTAGTGTATGAATGAAGCATAACATGTATTATGTATATAGCATATCAAGCAGGATTTGTAACTCAGTTGGTTACTCGTAAATCCAAAGCTGTGGTCTTCCCCTCCGCCAATAATCCTATCGAGTTATAAACCCCAAAAAAGAAGTCAAATAGGACATTGCGAAAGAAAACTAGTAAATCGCCACATGCATGCAGATGCAGTCCCCAGAAACGCAGGCCTCGACACACACAGACAGATAGACTGCATGCAGCTACTGCTATATATACTGCATAGTATATAGAGGATGCATGACATATTGACATGTGATGGCGAATGCCATTTCTTTTCCTTGCCGTACAAGTTTGCACAAATATCGTACTATATCTGCAAATTTGTCCCTACAAGCGTCGGTAGGAGTCTTAACATTGGCTACCCTACAGTTATGAATGAACTCGTACACCACTGAGTCTTAACATCAACAGGAGAGAGAAGCCCCCCCCGGGGTGGTTATGAATGAGCTCGTACACCACTGAGTCTTAACATCAGCAGGAGAGAGAAGCCCCCCGGAGGGGGGTGGGGTACGGTGAGATATGGCATAAATGATACTGGAATTTAAGTAAGCAAAATGCTTATTTTCTCTCTTAAAATAGCACTAGCCTTCATGCATGAGTGTGATTTTTAAATCAGGGCTTGCTACGTACGACTTTCATTTTTTAAATGTGTTTATATGCGTGGATTGATAAAAGGAAAGTCAAATATTGGAAGTAAATAAATAATCTTAGATCATGCTAGAAGAAACTCCTCATAAACCAATCAAAACAGCTGAATTCACATAATAAATCGGTCTTTCAATTACCATCTACATTCTATTGAATTTACATTAAGAATAAAAACAATAATATTTAATAAACAATTGATTGAATCGTATTATTGCTAACACATTGTGAGGCTAAGCTCATCTCCTTCCCCTTAATGTAGATAATATCATTTGTTCAAAAGAAAAGAAAAAACAATCATTTGACAACTAATTTAATCACAAAATTATGCATGTGCAAAATACTTTTTTTATAACCGGCATTACACGCCTATTAAAATGTGTTGAACGTGTTTAAAAATAGAGAAAATAATATTTAATGAACAATTGATAGGATCACATTATTACTAGCATATTGTGAGGTACTAATTAAAAAAATTATTATTAAAAAAAACATTGTTAAAATGACGAAAGTACCCCTGCATTATTTTAGGCAGCTTTTAAAAAAAAATTGTTCAATTTTCTTGGTAAAGCTTGTGACCCCAAAAATTACTATTCGTTGCCCTGCCGGCTTTATATATAAGATAGCATAAGTAACATATGTGAAACGAGAACAAATACAACGTAATATGTGAGACACGTATATATAAACCACATGATATGACAATTAATAATTAAACTTATTTTTAATAATTTAAAAAATAAATTCAATCATCAGTTGTGACATCACATACATAATATAGTCTGAAAATTTCTCTCTAAAGTAGCGTGTAAATTTACTCTAGTATTTGGATGAACTTTTGAATATCATAGTATTATTCACTGATCTCGACTTCCGGTATACAAATAATGAATAAATTGAACCCGACCCGACCCAAGATTACATGAATTAAATCGGTACAAAATTTTAAAAAAAAAATTGCAATTTGGATTAGTCAAGGCATGTACAAAAAAATTAAATGACTTCAAAATAAACTTGATGAAAGAATCAAAGGAACGAAAAAATTGGGTTAGTCCCCTTAACTCATCCTTATTGGGCTTAGCAAAAGGCCCACCATTCTTCTGGCACGATGACTACCCACCAGGTACGGCTTCTTCGGCCCATTATTAACCTACTGTAACTAACTCCAGCCCACGAACATACTGTGCCCTTCGGCGAGCTTAGTTGGCAGCGGCGATTGGGGTCCTTGGGCTAGGGAGGCCCATATATGCGAGCCGGGGTGAGAGCCTGACCTTTGGGCTAGGCCTTGGAGAAGGAATTGGGCCATAACGTACCGACGGCCCAGGACCGACTCTAGGAGACAGGTTAACTTGTTCAAGTGCCCTGGATTGTAGTTCGGTCGGGTAGTCCCGAACACACCCGATTCGGGGTCCGGTTGCTGTTGTCCATTTGCATGACAAGCGCCTGGGCATGTCAAAAACTGGTGGCTTGGCATTGGCACTGTCAACCTTCTTAGTTTGTTCTTGAACGGTTGTGATTGGAGCCTTGCTGGCCAAGTCAGTTTTGTTTGCACCGTCGGATTCGGTCGATTTGAATGAACCCTCCTTTGTTGATTCCCCTTCAGTGGTCTTCGTATAAGAGAAGTCATCATCAACTGCACACCTCTGTGGAAAATCAAGAGAAATATAAGTTAAAGAACCTTAACAAACGAGCACACACCCGCGACCATTAGGTCTAACAAAGTTCTGAGTTCAAACTTCATCAACAATACTTATTGGATAGAAAACAAACACGAAACATTTACCTTAACATTGGAGAGGTCGACGTGATTATCTTCTAAAAAGCTGATAAATTCCATGAAGTTCTCTTCTGTTGGGTGGTAATGACCACTGTATGGCCAAATAGCCTGAAATAACAGTTGAAATTAAGTTTAAGACATGACATAGAAGTTACTTGGACTATAAGAAAACACACAAACGTATTACTAGCCTCTTGGCCCGCGCTCACACGCGTGCAGGGGTAAATTCCGTACCTCAAGAATCCCGTCACGGGCAACCAATCTTCCGGCTGCAGTGGTGGCACCACCTGCTAGAAAACTTGAATGTTGGAACTGACCCTTCTTCTTCTGACCAACATACAGAGACCTTGTTGTGCTGAGGACAAATATCCATTTGGAACCTTCATTTGTGCTCACAAGCACCCCACTCTGCCTGTATAAAAGCTTCCCATTTTCGACTACTACTTCATATGCTTCTCTTTCTATCTGAAAATATTGCAAGCACAAAGAAAACACACTTAAGTATGCAATTAACAAGCATTTTACGTTGGTTGTAACGAAATTCGAGGTTTAGGTGTAGGACTAACCGGTCCAAGATACTTGATGCATTGACGTTGAAGAACTGCCCTTGAGCATTTCTCGATGTTTATTTCTTTCCCATTTCCGACATCCAACCTACATTACACAAATTGATCAGTAATTGACATGGAAATCATCTCGGAAACACAGGAACAATAAAAACATTACTACTTACCAGTAGAAGAAAGGTTGGCTGCTCTCACTTTCAAACCAGATGTCATAGTAAAAGTGCAAATTGTGTCCATACCGATGTCGTGGATCAATCTGCATAAAACATCAAGAAACATCTGAATGTTAGATCATGAATCCCGTAATGTTTTCAAATAAGCACGAAAAATCATCATTTTTTTAAGGTCGGATAAAATGTTGTTGAGTTTTCGCAAGAACTTACCGCTTCAAGCCAGTGTTGAAGAGCCAATTTTTGTGCCTTCTCATCCTTGGACAAACCCTTTCCAACCTTGGCTGCTCTAGTCCTAGCCCTCGCCCACCGCGAAACAGCAGTTTCCGGCTTCTCAACATTGAAGAATGACACAGAACTCCTCTTCAGAGCTGCAAAATCTAATGCCTTCCACCTAAAGTATTCAAAACAACCAAAATTAATCAAACCGTATAAAAAAAAATTGAAAAACTGATCAAATCAATGGCAAGAAATTACATAAAGACTCACCAGAGCTCCTCAACCACCACAGCACAATCAGCAAGGTTTCTTCGGGTCCGGTAACTCTTGTAAACCTTCTGAAGCTTAACAGCAGCAGCATCAAGCTCGCTAACCGGCCTTGGCGTAAACAAAATCGCCGGTTCAGGCAGAGCAAGTGCAGGCATTGGTTTGTGCTTCAATTCATTTTTGCCTTTACAGAACTCTAACCCCATGTCTTGGTTATCTTGCACAAGACCCTTAAACGAAAGATTCCTGTCGAGCATCACGTTTTCGGGTTTGCTTTCCCTCAAGCGATTCGAATTGGTAATGCCCGACTTGCTCGAACTGTCTGAAATAACTGCCAAGGATTCGGATTCACTCTTGAAGCTGTGTGTTCTTAGAGTAACTTGTGGTCCTCCATCTCTGGGAGTTAAACTGATGTTGTAGGTCAATTGAAAGAATCTGTGCTTCACAATTTCTTCCCAGGCTGAGGCAAGAAGTGAGAGGGATAAACCCATAAGAATTTCTCTATCAAGTTCAAGTCGAAAGGCGCAAAATCGTCACCTGCTAATTAATAAGAACATACAAATCTGTATTAGACTAAAGATTGAAAGTTTGAAACCACCAAAGATTTAAACAAAATCCAATTAAATTTAATCAAACTACAACCTGGGTTGTTAACAGATTTGAGGGATGAATCATTACCTAACCTGAAATGGGATTTTCACAAAGTCCTAAAAAGTGCTTTTGAAATTTCGAAACTCCAAAGAGATAATGAATGGAATTGGGAGATGGGATTTGAGTTGAGTCTGACTGCTATATATATATATATATATATATATACCTCAAACAACAAACAACTATTCCCACTGGTCTCCTTCGAATACGTGTCAAAACGACGGAATTGGAAACTTGGAAGATGGAAAATTTGGAAAAAGACGAACGCTTTGAATTCAAGGGCAACCAAAAAGTTTTGGGCTTTTTGGTTGCTGTGGAATTGGAAGATAGACAGAAGAGAGAAAGGTGGGTGAAAGTTTTCTGTATTCAACGTTTGAGTTTTCTTTCCCTTTTTTATTTTATTTGGTTCAAACCCCACGAGTTGGTTTGATCTATTCAAAGCTTGAGAAAAAAGCACTTATAAACTGCTTCTCACAGATGTGAACAGGCCACTTATAGAGCTACATGGAGCTGTGGAGAGAGAAAGAGGGGAGAAAGAGAGAGAGAGAGAGAGAGAGAGATTTGGCGGTCAAATAAAGTAAGCTTGGAGAGGGGGTTCCGTGAAAATACACAGAAGTGCTTTTTTTCCAAGGGGAACACGTACGTGCTGTTAACTCTACAGCAACTGGGATTTTTGTGTGCTTTTTATGATAATCTCATCAGTCAACAATCAATTAAGAAGTTGGATTGGGGGGGGCCCTGCAAAATTCAATCTCGTTCGTCCATGGCTACGGTCATCGACACGCCTCTTCTGTTGGAGTTATTGGATTGAAAGTTTGTTGTTGCTTACGGTTGGTTGTTGTTGTCACTGCTTTTATGCCCTCCTTCCACGGACTCATCGAGTTTACCATATTGCCCTTATTTTACCGGGAATTGAAGTGATGGCTTTCCAAGTTGTTGGTGGCGCCATTGTCCGCCAAAGTTCCAAACCCGAAGATGTACTTGTTGTGGTTAAATATTAGGGTTTGAAAGATGATTTATCACACAAACAATATTACAAACTAAATGGAGCGTGATTCAAACTCGAGTGTATGGAAGAAACACATTCATTTTAGCAAATGTGAATACGTATACGTCTGTAAAACAAGATAATAACGAAACATTTTATTATAAATGTCTCGTCAAATAGTTTTTGTCACCCTTCAAAGATCAATAACAATCAAGTTGGGGAGTAAAACCCTCTAACGAGTAATGTACGTATACTACGTATTAAGAGAATAGTAGAAGATTTGAAATCTTTGCAATCAAACGTATTTTGCCAAACGTAATACATACTTTCATACAAGTATTGGATTAAGTGGTGCACATTAGCAGATAACGCAATGAAAAATACCAGTAGACGAAAAGCGACGTGCAATGAGAATGTACCTAGAAAATTAAGAAGAAAATGTAGAGGAAGAGGAGCATGTGGAAATTGGCATAGGGAAATTTGTCCACGAGAGTGTTGCCTTTGAATTGTGATGCGTAAGAGACGTGTTTGACAACTACACATAGACACAGTGAGTCCAAATAAACAGAGATCGAGTCAAAAGTCAAGATCAAGGAATCGATGTATTGATTCAATTTGCTTGTCAAACAACAAAATGCAATGCAATCTTTCCCAATCATCTCAAAGAGTCGAGGCATCCATAAACCTAAACTCAAAAAGTCATTTGATAACAATTTTACTTGCAGTTTTTATTTCTTTGAAAACTGAAAATTCATTTGGTAAATTATTATTTTTTTTAACAAACGATATTATCTACAGGGAGATGATGGGTTTAGCCTCATAATAGACTAGTAATAATGTGGTTCAAATTCATTTTTGGTTAGAATCAAATCTAAAACCTTCGTTTGGTAAATATTTAAGTTAAAAAAATAAAAACTAAAAACTGAATTTTGAAAGCAAAGTAATTTTCATTTTTTGGTTTTCCGCTTTTATTTATTTGAAAATTGAAAATAGTAACAAAATGAGTTTTCAATTAAAAAAACTGAAAACTGGAAACAATATAATTTTCAAACAGCACCTTAATGATCCACGCCCATGAACAACAAGAAAATTGAATTTATAACAAAGTATATTTCGTTATGTATGGATGACTCATCACGTGACTATAAAACATACAAACAAAGTATATTTCATTATTTATAGATGACTCATCACGTGACTATGGCTATAAAACATACAAACAAAGTATATTTCATTATACTATAAAACATACAAATCACTAGTTGCAAGACTGGTTCTCTCTCCCTCGACAACACGTACAAAGTCGACAATAACTTAAACAGGTCCAGAGGTTTTGTTGGCGTTCAATTACAACTTGCATGGCGGCCTTTATTCCAAAAATTAAAACATACAAAATTAAGAAGAATAGTGGACTTTAGAATGGTCGTTGAACCCTAAAGGTCACGATGCTTATTCCATGGAATTTAAATTGACAACTATAAATAAATATATTATGCAGATGACGTTTTACCGTAGTGGCGAAAATAAAAAATGCTTATGCATTTTGGTGCTATTTCAATCTCCACTACTGCCTTCAAAAAAATAATAATAAAAAAAAAAAAATCTCCACTACTCCCTTTCTTATTAACACTTAACAATTTAACTTATTAACGCTATCGTTTGTTAAAAAAAACAAATTATGACACGAGACAGCAAAAAAGATCATTCTCACGAAATCACAGTTAGCATGCAATATAACAAAAACTTTGACTTTAACACTTCAAAATTTCTTTTTATAATACTAGTTGGACGTTATGCAACTCAATTAAAATGAAAGAAGCGTTATAAGATGATACAAAGAAGAGCTTAAGAAGTCAAATTATAGCTCTCGCATGAAAAATATGCGCAAAAACAACATCTTATTAAAGAAAATGCGTCAGCTAAATATAACACGATTATAAAAAACACTTAAACGACAGAAGAACCCCAATCAATTGACTTTACGTTTACAAAATGTACTGTGTACTTATGTATTAGACTTCCAACTTAATTAACAAATGTACTATTGATGATTGGGAGGTATATATTATTAACAAATTGTTGTCATTTTCTTAATGACACTAGTTATCACTTTCATTAGTAAAATACACAATCTATTTTATAATTATTTTTCATAAATATACATATTCGTCTGACCTACAAATATATTTTATAGAATTATTTATCTTAATTATCAACGTTGTCATTGTATTCGATAATTAAAAATGCATAGGTATGTTGAAGTTCTCTTGATCTAGTTTAGTGGTTTGAGGTGTTCTAATATTATTCAACACGCTCTCTTGATGATTTGAGGTGTCTTTTAATATTATTCAAGACGATCTCTTAGATGACAATTATACAAACAGTAACGACTTGAGTATTAAATAATTCTTTGTATCGTCAAAATTCCTCAAAAAAGAAAAACTCGTAAATTCTTCATGTAAATTCTATCTACACAAGCAACAACAAAAACACAATTATTCATGTACAGTGAATAGGTCTTGCGATTTCTTGTACGATTCATTAACCAGACACGAAACGACACGAGCATAACAGGTTCAAATCAACCTGTTAACGAGTTGGGTTATTATCTAGTACCTCTTAACACATCGGGCAGTTATCGGGTCACCCGTTAAAAACTAAATAAGATATTATTTTCCAGATTTAAACATTAGGCATGTCAATTTCTTGCATAAACAACTCGGGTCATCATGGATCACCTGTTAAAATAATAAGTACAACCTATTAAAATAATCAATATGACACAAAAACGACCTGAACACAATAAAAAACACAACCTTTTTATCAAAGTTGAAGAAATAACAATATATTTAAAAAATTTAACACATCATGAGTCTGCTAAGCAGGCAATCCGGCCCGTTGAAATTTGATTCAACGGTTACAAATAGTTGACCTTCTAAAAATTATAATAATTGTAACTGTTTGATTAAATTTCAACGAACCGGATCACCTGCTTAGCAAGCTCATGATGTGTGGATCGGAGAGGATCCAGTTCCTTCACCAAGACCCACTCTCGTATGCACGCGACATATTGACTTACCGTACGGTTCAAATCTAACAGAATATTTGTTCTTCGGATAAAATAAATAAAAACGGTTGAACAAAAATGGTCAAACGGATCCAATTATCCAGTCAATCTCAAAATTTCCCAGAAGGTGTATGATGGGTATTTACGTAAATTCCTGTTGCGTTGAAGATGTCCTCGTTTATTATTCCTCTGTCGACTGTCCCTAGTTCCCGCCAACAGCTGTATAGGTATATGATGGCTCATCTCAGTGCTGACGTGTATTTCTTCATCTACTTGCTGCGTAACAGCGTTGCATGGTTGATGGTTTAATAGTTTAATTAATTAATCATAATTAATTAATCTTAATCATTTTTGTCAACGTTCTCAATCCATGTTTTTGCCACGCGTTTTGATCAAATATTACAAGTTGCTCAGCCCCCAAACTGTCGGTTGATCGATTTATCATATGCCTTTTCATGTAATATTTTGTTCTTTCAAGATAATTTAATATTTAGGTGTGGATTATCACTTTCAAATTTCATTCAGAAGCTATCGAATATCGGTGTTTTTTTTAAGGAATTTCCGATACTTCATGATCGCTAGACAAGTCAGAATAAGAACTTATAGATCCTCATCAATATAGGTCTTGGTCGACTTCATTTGGCTTAGGCGAGCTGTATAAACACAATTCTGACTTCTAAGTCATCTGTATATGAAATGATAAAGTGCGTTTAAAAAAGCATCAAAGAACATGGCACACTGTGTTTTAACGAAATTTAACATAAATGGTATGTTTGTACAAAAAAAAGTTAAAAATTATGCAATAAAATTACCAAAAACAGTTTTTGAAGTGGTAAAATTGTGCAAAACCTAATAATCCACTCCACATAGTGTTTGTGTAGTTTTCCCAACATTTCAAGACATATCTAGTATATATGTAATGTTAGGCTTGGGAGTGTTATGGAACTAATTATAGAAGTGTGAGAGAGAGGGCGGCGGAGAGAGAGAAGCCTTCAAGTGTGAGAATTGTGTCCTCATCATTTGATGTTGTAATTTTATTTATACTAATCATGATGATTTTTTTTCACATTAAAGGTAACACCGACCTATGAGGATTTGATCTCTAAGTCCTAGAATTCTACTTTTCAGTTACATCACATTTTTAACTACGGATTAATTTATATGAAAACATTATACTTACATTACATTTAATGAATTTTGCATAGTGGCATACATGCACAGCCTCACACGGTAACGCCCATCCAATAGTTTTTGGATCTTAATGGATCATCATTTGTGCTTCATTTTTATATTCTAATTTAAATTTCTTTGGCTACTGATGATGGAGATCCCTAAACCATAAATAAATATCTAGATTTTCAGTCTCATAAATAAATATCTAGAATTTCCAACCACCTTCTGTTGTTGTATTATTATGAGAATTTGA